TCCCCGCCATGATCACCAGGGGTGTCATCAGGATACACAATGAACTGGCATAAAAGTATTTCCCTGAACTAAGAAATTACATAGCAGCCTAGTTTCATCCCTTCTTTTATAGATCTGGAAATCATGGTCGCAGCTTTCTCAGACCTACAGGCTGCTTAATGTGTCTGCTGCACCACCAGGGGATCATGCTTATGTGTCTCCTTGGGAAATACATGATATCCAAGTGAAAATAACTAGACAGAGGTCCAAGGTATCTCAGAAGGACCACAGAGCACACGAGGAAACCCATTACACAGCTCAGCAAACCGTGGAAGTGGAAGCATGGTCTTTAAAATCTTGTGCAGGATGAAGGAGCTCACAGCCTTTTCCCAGGGATCATGTCACCTCCTCCCACACACCTAGGACGGCTCTAGACTCGTCCTGAGATTTTGTCCTCAGTCACAACTCAGTCTGATGGTGACTCTGGTGAGAAAAGATTTGTTCTTTTTTTCCACACACATCCGTTTGGAGTCTCCAAGGCAGTTTTTTTTTCACCTTCCTGCTGAGAGCAAATTCCATGCTTACAGAGCATTGCAAACACAGGCAGAATGTGTGCCCAGATGGCTGTTTTTGTCATACATTTTTGCAGACTTTCCTTTTTTCGTGCTGACAAATCTTGGCCAAGACAGCAGAGGACAGCCTCAGCTTCAGCTGCTATTATGCCATGTCAAAGGGGTGATCATTAATGACCCTTGACTCCCACTCTGTGTTCTAGGGAACAGAAACATAAGGAAGGGAATGGGAAAGGAACATGGGGCAGTACTGAAACTGGAGGGGTAGAGCAGTGTTTGGAACATAGACCATGGGACCCTGGGAGGTGATTCTTCCTGGGAAGGGGCTCAGCTTAGATGGGAAAGAACAGCAGAGTTTGGGAGAGGTGCTCGAACAGAAATACCTCAGAGGTATGACAGACCAGCCTACTGAAACAATGAGGCCCTCCAAGTACTCCTCTGCAAAGGGTGTACCACTTTTCAGGGGCTTCTGCTCCCAGAAGAGGAGATGAGTTGACAGTTTTTTGAGAGCAGAGGAATGACATACTTTTTGTAGTTTCCTGAGTAGCCCAAGGAGATGAGAGGAGTCTCAGCGTTCGTAGGGGAGAAGATACAGAGCAGAAGAGAGGCTCAGTATTAGGCTGATCTAATTGAATATTAATGAGTAACAGTGGTGGAGACATTCTCTTGCATGAAGTTTGTAAGTATAGCCACAATATTCTGAAAACCACTGCTCTCATCTTGATGGCACAACTTTAATTAAAAAGATCAAACTGGTGTAGGTCACTGACATGGTCCAATGGATATAAGCATTTGCTTTATTGTCTGATAAGCTGAAACCAATAAAGGGAAGTCCTCACCTACAGTTAAATACTGTGTCCTAGATATATTGACCCATACACACTAGTGTAGCCCTTACACTACTCATGCCCGAGTATAATACGTAAACAAGCATAAAAATAAAAGCAAATGGAATAATACAACGCCATATCCCTA